GGCTGCGTCGTCGACGCTACATATGGGCGCCGAGGTGCTGACGTCGTCTGCTTCCTGTAGCCTCCCCGTCCGCCCCTGCTCGCTGGCGGGTATCGAGGAGGCGCGGTCCAGTTTCCCTGATAGGGCCCAGGTCGACTGCTTGACGACGAAGCCGCAGACTTTTGAGGTTTCGATGCCGACTTTTTGATTTGAAGGCCCTGTTTTTCTATTGCCTTTGCAGCTTTAATTTTGTCCGATAGTGAGGATCCAAATAATGTTTCATCTCTTTCAGATTCATTAATCATATGCAGGATAGATTTGTCTAAACTGGGCGTGATAAGCTTTACCCGGTTCTTTGACATTAAGTTGTGAGAATCGCACAAAAGTCGGCAGCCGTTACTAAGATGTTTCATCGCTAGGATCTTATTGTCACTTTTTAAGAGGATATCCAGGCCTCTGTTGATGGCCGTGATCCCAAGACCAAGTTGTTGTTGAGAAGTGGCAAGTGTTTTATCGCGATTGCGAACCATATCTGGGACGGCAGCGGAAATCTCCGCGTTCAATTTTGGCGCCTGTAGAAGTCTACAATTATCCGGAACTAAATAGTCCTTTAATACTTTGTCTTTGCTATCTTTTGGCATTCCTTTTTTCAGTAAAGGAAGCCATAATTTTGATAGATTATCATGGATATTTTCTCCATACTCGGGTGTATCTGACGTGAATTCACCAAGAGCCGATAAAAGTTCAGGGTCCAGCTCGTTCTCGACCGAGGGCTCGGCTTGCGTGCTGGGACCCGGTTGGTCATTATTCGAGTCGACGTTGTCGATAGGTTCCTGCACAGTGGCTGGTACTAATATTTCCGGTGCCATAGTTATTTGTTCCGGTTCCGGAATAATATCATTCTCGTCGTCGATGGTTCGTACGGGAGGTTCAAAATCTAAAATTAAATTAGCAATTTTAAATGTATGTCCAAAAAATAAATAAAAAGGCCTTATGTAGGTAGGCGATAAAAATAACACGAAAAACTTTACATTGGTTTTTCGGTTTTGAATTTGCAGATGAACGATACATTTATTTTAAATGCAACATATTCTGCTTGGTTGTCATCGTTCAAGACTCGCAGTCTAGCCCGATGCAGAAATAAGGTCGTTATTTATCTACTTTGCGTTTTGGTAAATGTCAAAGTTATTGACCCGCAGTCAATCCCAGAGCATTCCAAAGCGAAAAAAGTTATTCAATAAACACTATTCACTAATTAAAGATAACGACCAATTTAAAAAGTAATAACTTTGCTTACCTTCATCATTCGATTCCGATGATAAATTCAAAGGAGGAATTGATATGTTTCGACGA